AGATGCTGTTTCCTCTGCTTAATATACCACGGTCCCCCCAAAACTTGGCAAAATTCAACTCATCCTACAATTGGCAAGAAAGAAATGATTTTCTTCTATTTGCCTTGCTTGTTTCTCCAGTCCCTTTCTATTCCCATCAAAGGGATTATGTGGTACTCTTACTTGCCTTCATCTCATCCTGTGCTTACATAATATTATAATTGGTTTTTGCCAAACTATCCGTTCAAGTATATTGTAAAATTCTGAAATCACTGTGTATTGTTTATTACAGTGTCTCCAAAACCTAACCAAATGCTATAGTATAGCCTAGCACATGGTGTATACTCAAATATATATTGAATTTGAAATAAACAAACAGGAAAATAAAAGGAAGTAATATAACAATATAAGGTTCAAGTTGAAAGAATTTAAATTAGGACACAATTCAGATTAATATTATTTTATCATCTTATCTGAAGTAAATGAGTAGAACATTGTCACTTTTGAATAATCAAATTAAAATCAGTTTTGTAGATGTTTAAACTCTAAGACCATTTACAATTTAAAATACATATAACTTGGTCTAAACAGCACCCTCAGAAAATTGAAATTGTTTTAAATTCTGTGGTGTGTTTATCCAAACTGCTAAGGACCATCAGGAAGACAATTAAAATGAGAACAGAAAGTACAATTCTGTTTCCTCAGTGGGGGAAAAAAAAAACTCTAATAGAGCTTAAGAATGTTCAGGACAGTGTGTATATTAAACCCAAGGATATGAATTAGATGGGTAATCACTTATTCACCACACTCTAGAAATAAAGAGAACCATTAGCATTTAGGAAAAAAAAAAACAAACTTAGAATATTTAAAAGTATTAAGTTCTGCAGGGAATAAAATGCATAGATCTTATTATTCCAAAGTAATAAATAGAAAGAAAACAAGGAAGAAACTGAATACCTTCAGTGGTATTCTTGCTATAATTACTACATGAGACAATGAAGTACATTTAATTTAAATCCTGATAATAACATTTTGTAAAATACAATGAAACATCTTCACATTTGACAACTGTATGTTACAATGAAACATGCTCTGGAATGTCTCATGTAGTCTCTTTATTAGATTTTTGTCAATATCGGCCCTTAAAAGACATTAGAAATAATAAGAAAGTAAATAGCTACTTAACAATCAAAATATTTTCCTAAACCAAATTGCAAAGAGAAACACATCTCATTGTGTATATACAGACTCTGCTTGAGTCTGTTACCACCAAACTTAACTCGTATGGCCAAGCTGATCCACTAAATCCTATCTATGGACTTACACCTAGTCCAGAGTCTACAAAGAATTCTGGCACCAGGGCAGGGGTTGTCTTAAAAATTACACCTCTCTCCTACTGGCTCATGGGTTCAACACAGGAAGGGATCTTTCACACTGCTGGTTACACACTGACCTGACATCCACAGGCTCCAGATAGCAGGTTCATGCTTTACAGATATATAACAGAGTTCATGCATTGCACCCCAGTACTTCAGTATCCAAAGTCCTCTTGGACTGTAGCAGAGATGGATATATTTACCCTGGCCTTACCAGGGGTTGTCTGACAATGTGGGGCACTTTGAGTCTTTACAATTCCCAGGTTTTTTACATTTTAATATTGCTCATATTTAAAACACCAAAGACTATACAAAGTGGTATATTTACAAAGCACTATTTGATTTAATAATGAATTTTACACTTTCAATTTTGATTATCTAGTTTCTTTTCCTTTGTACTTCTATTTAAATGAATTATATGCCTGTACACTAGAGGTTAATCTGCGATCCAGTTTTATGAATGGGAAACATATGCCATAATATAGAATATCTTTTGATGTAATTTTCAAAGACAGTTTTAAGTTAATATTTAACAGACACTATTTTTTCTCCAGTGATAAATGCATTTATTATCTAAGATAATTATGTGATTTGGAAAAATCTGCAAGTTGTGTTTGCTGCTACAATTCATTTCCAGTTTCTGAATTAAAATCCTTTTCAGAAACAGGCCATTGTAAAATTTTGAATCACCCTTGAAAATCATGAATGAGTAGTTTTCTTTTTCTTTATTAACATTAAAACTGAGACTACCTGAATTTTCAGTAAAATCTATTTAACACTTATTGTTAAAAATATTAATGCAAAATTCTCCTAGAGTTCTCAAATTTATTCTTACCAGATATGCAAATTTACTTATAATGACATTTGCAAATTTAACACAACCTTCTATATATGCCTTACCATTTTAAATAACAAACTCCACTCTGTTTTCTACTGCTTCAGAAATAACATTTGTGTGGACCCACAGCAAAATTTGCAATTTTAAATATACCATTAACATTTCAAGATACCGCTGAGATTTCTATTACACTGGCAAAGAAATTACTCGACAGCTATGCATCCTTATGAGAGATCATTCACTCAGTACTTGATGTATTCTGTTCAATAAATGAAAAAATAAAAGACTTTGAATTTCTTACCAATGAAAACATCACCATAGAATGGTTTCTACAAAAAGCATAGCTTTTGAAGTAGACAACAGTATTTTGACGATCTACTAAAATGACATGGAAAAAATATACTTTGGGAGGCCGAGGCAGGCAGATCACTTGAAGTCAGGAGTTTGAGACCAGCCTGACCAACACGGTGAAACTCTGTATCTACTAGAAATACAAAAATTAGTCAGACATGGTGACACATGCCTGTGATCTCAGCTACTCACTAGGCTGAGGCAGGAGAACCCTTTGAATCCAAAAGGCAGAGGCTGCAGTGAGTCGAGATCATGCCACTGCACTCCCATCTGGATGACAGACAGAATGAGACTCTGTCTCAAAAATTATTTTTTTTTAATTTTAAAAAGGAAAAAATAATTTTAAAAACTTGAAATTGATTTAGATTATGTATAATTTAATCTGACTTTCAGTTTTCTAACTTGGAGGCAAAAACAATAGCTTCATTCATAGCTTTGCTCTTAAATGATTGATGTAACCCTAGATACTATTGAGCCAAATACCTAGATACCTTAGATATTTAGGGCTAAAGAAAATGACTGTTACATAGGTCCCGGCAGTATGTTCCAGATAGCTCCTTAACAATGGGAGACACTAAATTAATGTGTAGTAATGAACCCCTAGATTGCCTAAGCCCTTATGTACTCTGAAACTTTCATGTTTTCCACTCTACAAGATGTTATAAAATAAGCACAATCATTGAAACTTCAGAAAACATAAGTATAAAATAATCATCATGGTATAGCACAGCCAAGAAAGAACTCCTATCTTCTTCACAGTATTATAAGTTGTTTTAAAAGGAAAAAAAAATCTATCTATCTATCTATCTATCTATCTATCTATCTATCTATACGTATAGATATATAGATTGATATACTATACATACATATATATATATAGAGAGAGAGAGAGATAAAGTTGTATAACTCATGCCTATTCACTTTTATTTATTGGGAATGACATTGATGTGGTTTGCCTTCAGGATACCATTTTTCCTTTCTGTGACCTTTATTTTCTCCCAGCAAAAGGATTCCTTCAACAACCAGGCCACATACTCATTCAATCTTTCATGTTTAGAAACATGCTTTCTTAGAGGGTGTGACAAACTAATTTATTTTACCATGCAAATAATGGATAAGATGTTTATCAGTACTTGCAGAAGACATACTTCATTTTGCTTCAAATAAGGGACAAATCCTTTGAAAATCGACTAATCTCTTAACTGTAGAATTCTTCCAGGAATCAGTGAACAGTTGAGGGAAGTATTTTGAAGGTAGTAGATCTACTTTTCTGATGTAAGCTGAATTTTATGGACAAGCACCGTGCAAGGCAGAAGGATAAAATTACATCACCTAAGCTCTCACCTACAATACTTCAGTAAAAGACTGGCCATTAATCCTGTCAATATACTTTCCGGGTTGACTTATATGAAATCTTGCCTTACGTTGTAATGTAATAGGTCCAGGGGATAAATATAAGCAGCTGTCTGCAGCCAATATATTTTTCCACACAAATACTTACAATAAAAATAAAAAGAAGGAAAAGGACTATAATATGTTTTTTAGCCATACTTTAGGAGCAACTTGATGAAAATTAGATAACACCATGAGACACATGAGAGTGAGACAGGAGAGAAAGAGCTACAACTGAAAGTTATCTCTTTAACAACTCACTGGCATTTTAATGGAGTTAAAGTACTTCACCTACATGCCTATGTGAAGAATAGCTAAAAAAAATGATAATACTGAGTTCTGTATGTTCCTCATTAAATTTCATTTTGCTAAATAAAAAACAAGTAATGATAAAAAGTATTCATTGACTATTTGTTGATATAAGTTGAATTTGGCTTATTACTTTACATATACTCTTTGAATTTATTTTGGATCTCAAGCATGAAGTCATAGGGATGTCATCTCTATCAGTGTTTTCTGAAATCAGACATCACAGAAAGGACTAAGATGTTCCAATAATAGAACATTAAGCTTTTGTTACTGCTTATAATTATAATTCATAGAAACTTTAGAATACTTTATAAACTTTAATTTCCTGGAAGCTTCCTGAATTAAGTAGAAAAGAACAATATCGAGTCAATACTATTTATCACATGGACATAATTTTTCTCAGTAACTAGAAAAGATATTACAACTCAAATATTATACTAATATTTAGAATAATAAACTCTCCAATTAGTGTAGCCTATTAGTAGAATGTAAATTACTGAGATAGTCTAATAAAGATTTTATTCCTATTTTTAAAACCAATAAATTGAGATAAACTTTTATGAGTTGTTAAAACTTTTAAAAACACCAGACCATACCTCAAAGCAATTTCGTACTTCTGTTATTAGTTACTACAATAGTTATATTTCTTAAAAGTACCTGTATATGACAAATAATATACAAGCAAACGACTGATGACCTGGTGTGTACACAATTCAATTCATCAACGGTTAAATTTAATGAAGAATCTAACTTACCGGTGGATCAGCCCCCTTAGAACCAGCCAGCCCTCCTGTTAAGGATTCGATATCCTGAAAAGGGGAGAGGTGTTGATTGTAAAATGCTACTCAACATCATGAAGAATCCCCCAATCCCACAGTGTAATAATTTATTTAGCTGCAAAGTTAGGGCACGTCAGCTAATTTTTTTTTTTTTTTTGCAATCTTGGACACTATAATACTATACAAATAGTCTACATCTAAAGATCTAGATATTCTCTCCAACTCTGAACAGTCTATAAAAAGAAAAACATATAAACAAATATTTTTGAAATATGCAGATGTTTCATCTTTGAAGAGCTGAAGTGAGAGCAGAAAAAAGAAAATTTAAGAAAACTTCAGTATAACGTATTATTTTCAAAAATATTAAACCCATGGAAAATGTTTAACCTAAAAAAATTAAAAATATATATTTTTATTTTTTATGAATACATAATAGTTGTACATATTTATGACATACTTATGATATTTTGATGCAAGTATTTGATGTCTAATAATCAAACTTAGGTCCATCGCTTCAAACATTTATCATTTCATTGTCTTGGAAACATTCCAAATATACTCTTCTAGCTATTGTGAAATACACAATAAATTATTGTTGGCCGGGCGCGGTGGCTCAAGCCTGTAATCCCAGCACTTTGGGAGGCCGAGACGGGTGGATCACGAGGTCAGGAGATCGAGACCATCCTGGCTAACACGGTGAAACCCTGTCTCTACTAAAAAATACAAAAAACTAGCCGGGCGCGGTGGCGGGCGCCTGTAGTCCCAGCTACTCGGGAGGCTGAGGCAGGAGAATGGCGGGAACCCGGGAGGCGGAGCTTGCAGTGAGCTGAGATCCGGCCACTGCACTCCAGCCCAGGCGACAGAGCGAGACTCCGTCTCAAAAAAAAAAAAAATAATAAAATAAATAAATAAATAAATAAATTATTGTTAACAATAGTCACCCGATTGTGCTACTGAACATTAGATCTTATTCATTTTATCTAACTGTAGATAAAAATATTAACCAAATCTTATTTTTTCACCCCCTCCCGACTAGCCTTCCCAGTCTGTGGTAACCACCGTTCTATTCACCACCTCCATGAGATCTTTTTTTTATAGCTCTCACATATGAGTAAGAACAGGTGACATTTATCTTTCTGTGCCTGACTGATTTTACCTAATATCCTCCAGGATCATCCATGTTGTTGCAAATTTAAAAAATTATAACTATGGTCTAGTCTATTTCTACACATAGAATATAAAAATATAAAGAGATCGATTTTTAATCTCTAATAGGTAACCAGAGAAGGTCATGCTTGAGTAATGACTACAGTTGTTCAATTTATAAATGGAGAAATAGGGGACAGTGTGATAAGCTGTAGAGGCTGTGACCTGTTTATAGGAACAATTAAACCTCAGCCTTATCAGTTCTATGGCTTTGGTTCCAGGGTTATTAATGGTTATATGACTTATTCAAAAGAAGTTGCAATTCTAGGTTTTAAAGTAAAATCACCCAGATTTTTAGTGTTTGCAACTGATTTAAGTTGTAAACCATCCCCCATCCCTCCCAAATGACAAAACACAACTCTCTGATAAAAGGATGCTGGAAAGGAATTTTGGGTTAAATGGAATGGTTACACTTTTTGGCTAAAGATGTTTTCTTAAGACTCTGATCACCTCTTATCTGTTTGCATCTATTTGGAAAGACAGAGATGAAGAAGGGGGAAATATAGTTGCATTAAGAAAGCAAAGAAGGAGGATAATTAAGTCCTGAATGAAGTGACAGAAATTTAAATGCCTATGATGAGGAAAAAGGCCAATACTTGGATATCATTAAGAGGACTTATGCTACTAATTCACTTAGGACTTAATCAAATGATTTTCCCCTTATATTGAAAAAGTGAGGACTCTTAATAATACAATATGGGGCTCGGATGAGCATGTGATGGAAACATCCAAGGAAGGGGACAGGGAAGTATGGTGTTATAACTGCTTCTATCTGAAAATGTTCACTTTGAACAGGAACATAATGGGTAATGAATTTATTCATGCATAGTCTAATAAAGGTCACAAATGACAAGGAGTACTTACCAAGAAAATTATTAAATGGTCTCCTTTCTAATGGAAATGTATATATATTTTTTCTCTACCCAGAATCCTTTTCAGGAACTACTCGTTCCCCACTCCCATTTTAGCTACAAAAGAGGCTAAAAAATTTGCTTCAAATATTTTAGGGACCTGCCAGAGAATTAAGGCAATATAGAATCTGAAAAGCGTAATGGTAGAGTTTAAGTCCTTGATTGTATCATTTGAGGAATGTTTGAAATTAGATGTTATCTCTGCCTGCAATTCGGCTTAAGATAGGTTTCTGGTTCTGAAAAGTAAAAATGTCCTAATTATATCTTCATTTTTGACTCTATTTGTAAAAGGACCACCCTCCCCATCCTGTTGAAATGCTTTATTCCAACATCATGCCCAACATAAAAAAATCAATTCACCTAAATTATCTGATCTTACATGTTCTTTATCATTCTTATTGTCACTTAAGTAAATTTTGTCCTTGTAAAGTTAAAACAAAGTATCAAACATATATATAAATTGGCAAGGAATATTAACATCCTTATCAAATCCAAAGATAAAACATAACTTAAAATTGTCTTAAAATCTCAGGAATGAACAACATTAGGTTGTAAAATGATTAAATATTAGATTTACAGATAATAAAACACACAGCTTGCACTGTTGGGTAATATTTCTGCTATGCCCATAATGAAAACAAGTTTCTGTTCATGTAAAATGTTTTTTCCAACTATACTTAAAATGAAAAAAAAAGATATCAAGTGCATTTGGAGTTAATACATGTCTTTCTTTGTAGAAAGGCATATAAGTTATATTAATGATGTAATTTTTAATGGAGCTATCAGAGGGATAATAGAGAAACTGATTTGGATTACAATTATTTTAGCAATTTACTCAATGCATTTTCTCATATTTTGTAAAGTTTGTTCATTAAGATTTCTTACCAAAGATAAGTTGTGCCGATTTTCAGATTTTTAAAATTTTAAGCTCTTTGTGATAGTCATGTCTTGAGAAAAAATGAGAAACAAGAATGTAGAAGATGAATGAAAAAGGCACTAAAATTTGTAGTTTTTAACACAGTGAATTTAAAAGCAAATTATGAATTAATGGCTCTAAATAGTATACAGATGTATATTATTATCCTCTAAACGGGTATGTTGTAAATTGAATGTAAATCATTCAATTGTAAAAAAATGTTTGAGCTCACATTCTACTGTGAGTATAATTTGAAAAAGAGTGTCCTACTTGGGTAGAGGTCCAAGTTAAACATGGCTTATCAGTTCATACAAAAGGAATTTTCTCAGGTGTGAATAATGAACATAAGTATGGATGGTTGCATTTATGTTGTAAAATTAGTAGGTAAAACAAATACTTTGAGGAACTCTGAACATATGATTACTACACAGCTTTCAAATGATAACTAAAAATGAGTCAAAAATAGATGGTTGTTGAATATTTTATCTGCAAAGTATAAGTAAAATCTTTGACAAATGTGTCTATTTTGTTATTTCAATATATTTTATATAGATAACAACAAAAGGGGACATCAAATAGTATAAACATTGACTTCCTAGAAAGTTTTTTGACTTACTAGTGTAACAATATTGTTTGTTTGATTAAAACACTCAAAACATACTTTTATTTTTAACAAGGCTACAGCATTTATTTAACCATATTGTATACCATGTTGAGGTCATCATTTGTATCTAATAGCTAATAAAATAGCTACTACTCAGTGAACAGTTGCTATGTGCCAGGTACTCTTATAAATGCTTTGTAGACATTGATGCCATAATAAACTTCTGTTAGTTAATTATTCTCTCACTTAAAAGGTTAGATAGTTTACATAACTCACACAGTAGCATAGAGCTATTAAGAAATGGGTTATAAAACATATAGGACTCCAAACCTGTATTTTTTAAATTACCAGTCCTAGTGAACAATTTCATCCTGGTACCCTGGTGACACTGCACATATCTATGTTGGCGATGCAGGCAAGGCTAAACCATAGGCTGGTAAATCTTGGTGGAATATCCCGTGACCCTCCCAGAACATGGCAAAGGAAGCAGTCTTATGAGGAGCTTCTACGCAGCTATTTCTTATTTGCATCCCTCACATCAGTGAGGCATGGGACTTTCCACCTCACACCTCCCTACACCAGGTCCCTCTTCAGGCTATCAAACCACTTTGATGCAGCATGGAATTGGTTCTTCCCTAGCAGTGCAGCCCACTTCTCTTGTTGCCTATCATTTGACGCATCCAGTTCAGTGTTGTCCAGTGGAAATTGGGACCAGGACCAGAATTAGAGCGAGGTAAGTGAGGTACCTATGGTGCAAAATTTAAGTAGGAGCTCATTCTTCGGGTCATACAACTGCTGACCTGCACTTGTATAATCTTGATAGTGAGTACCTTATTAAATGTTGTGCCCTAAGCACCTCACTTGTCTCATCTGAGTCCTGGCCTTTCTAGGGACCTTAGGAGCTGAAACAGTGGTGGTCTTCCTTACGCTGACTGTGTAAGTAACAAACATAAATCCATTTGGATTCTGTTTATCACTCAAAAATGTAGAAGTGTAGCAAGCACCTACCCCATGTTGTTGCCAGGGACTGCATGCTGCTTCACACTGGTATCCTCAATCATATGAATTTTTATCATCAATGCTGAATGACATAAACAAGGATCTATTAATTATATAAAAAACTTCATTTTTTAAAAATAATTTCAGATAATGAAAGACTCATTTTCCTCTTCAAGGTATGAAAAACCTAAGTGGGGTTATTAGCCAGTCTTTAACACAGCTGTGCAGATTCAGTTTTTCAACATTGGAAAGTTATGGTCCTGGCACGAAAACCTAGTAAACCAAGGATGGCCAGTGAATCAGAAGTCTTAAAGCTTGGGAAGGTTGAGCTCCAGGAAGAGTGAGGTGATCAGTGTCAGAGCTCTAAGTAGAGTGAGACTTAGGGTATTCTCAG